CTAAATCAAAATGGCACATGCCATCTGAGTATTAAACAGGGGATAGGATTGAGGACAAAATGGTGAGGTATTATTGTTTCAACACTTTTTTATGTTTCTCTTACCTCATCAGGAAAATAGCTTTCCCATCTGTCTTTTGTATGCCTTTTAATAAACTCCCTTCTTTGACAACTGTCTTTTATTTTTTTCCCATTCCCTGGTGAGGGAAGGAAATATGACATATTACTTGTCATGTAGCATTTGGCCTTTCGTATCTAATCCCAGCACAAACAGCATGATGAGGGAAGAAACTGACAGGGCTATTCAGGGAAAGCATAGCTTTTCAGTGTCAGAACGGTGACAGTATAATAATTTTGCTCATTGGTCTCACCTTAGTGAAAATCTGTTGAAAAAAGAGCATTACAAGGAGCCATAATTTGGTTTATTATCATTATTTCATTTGCAGATTTAGCTTTTAGAAAATCAAAACACTTGCAAAAATAAATTTAGCAGAACAAAAAAAAATGTCATCTTGAGAATGAACCTCAAAGAGCCTGATGTTGGAAGAGAGGGGCACAAATAAGGATCTGCAGTACTGTACTGTATTTACTGAGTATATTGTGATTTGGATGAATGACGGCTTTCTGTGTTATTTCATGTGAAACCACATTAGGTTAACCATGTAATCCACCTAGTCATGTAAAATGAAAAAACAACAACAACTGATTTAATTCTGCTTATTGGAGGGGCTCAATGATTACAGTTGGTAGAAGAAGCAATCAAGGATGAAGGGAAATAAGAGGAAGGGATGAGAGGAATATTTGTGTCAAAGTGCACACACTGCCTGAAGGACTTCGAGGGAGAAGCTGCAGGTGAAGCCTTCATGGCCATTCAAAAGGTCCTTAATCACAACAGAAAAACCTGACACTGAGCACTGTATTTTTTATATAAATATTAATATTTTAGGAAATGTAATGGACTTATAACATGGTCTGTACAAAGATTCAAAGACCACAGTAGTAAAAAGAGTTTTAATTCTGATAGACCATCGAATGTGAACTGTAAATCACAGGTGTTTTCCCACTAAAAAAAGAAAGAATATTCTAATATAAAAAAATCAGTGTTTCAATCCCCCAAAAATATTTTTGGTAAAGCCTGTAATGTACTTTATACAGTACCTAATGATCAATCCTATTTGTTTCACTTACTTGCAAACAAATGTCTGATTAAATGTGAATCGATCCGATAAGATAATTTTGGGCTGTAAACTGATAGTGTTAAACTAGGCTATTATTCTTGTAAGTAAAAAGGCTACAAACTGATGTTAGCATTGTATTTTATTATGCTGAGCAATGTAAATTGCATATTTGTTTAATGTTCTCTGAGGAAACAGTGTCCAGACAGCACAGAGCTAAGAAAACATTTGTCAGAGTAGGAAATCTTTGTTGAAACAGTCTGCTTTGGTTGAAAGTCAGAGCAGTCAGGCAAAGGAATGGAAATGAAGCAGCGTCTTTGACAGCACGAAACTAGCTTGGAGGAGGCTGCAAGGGCTTTCCTTTCTTTCTGCTGTGTGGACTTGCAAAGGAACAGGGCTTCATTTTGGGAGGATTTGTCTTTCTCCCAGGAGTACTTCTCCACGGGGGAAAAGCAACATAGTCCAAACATACAGCAATCTGGTTTTCAGATTATTATTTATTAACACCCTAACTTCATGTTAATGTTCTCATTCTGGCACATTGTCTTAGGACACCCATAAGGTAGCAAATGCATCATGTTAATACCCATGTCAAACCAATAGCACCTACACTAGTTCAATTAACTGCCTTGAAGTGGCAATACACCATCTACTGTCTCCTCTCACGGTGTATTTTCATTATGCATATCTTGTGTATTTATTTTTGGTTTTGGCATTACTTTATGTAAAGCACACTGAGATGCTACTTTTAAAGACACTATATAAAATAAAATTATTATTATTAAGAGTTATTCTTTTCTTAGGCCCAACAATAAGTATTACTGCACAGCTGCATTCGTAAGGTCTAACTCAATAGAAATGCCCCTAAAATGTTTTTGTTTGATCAAGAAACTGCGTAAACCCCACTATTCTTAGAGTCAGATGCTTAATATCTGTTTCATGAAAGCATGGCAGCAGACAGTCAAAGTGGCAAAAGAGAAGATAATTTCCACTTTTAATCTGAAGGAGGAAAAACAAGATGTACCCCAGCAATGGTAGAGATGTCTTCAGAATGCCTTTGATGAGCAGATAATCTATTTTCATTTAACTGAAAAAATATTAGTGAAGTAAAATTTAAAGGAGTTCATTTTTCAATTAAATACAACATTTTCTCTCTCGGAATATCTTTGAGAATCAGGACGAATATATATCTGATTCCCTTTGCTTTTACATCAGACAAAAGAGGTGTAAGTGCAAATGCTAGCATAGTATGAAACAAAATGTTTTTTTTTTTAATTATGCTCTCTAATAAGGATGGGATGTCACACTTCAGTGTAGAGTCACGCTCATTAAATAATTTTGTAAACCAACACCCTATTCAATTTGTAACCAACCTGCTTTTTGGAAGCCAGTAATTACATTTTAATTTAAACTGTGTGAGTTCACTGATGAAATAATGCAATTTAATTCTCCAATAATATTGAATTGCTGTGCATCACTCTTGAAATATTATCACTTTTGATTTCATATAAAATCGTCAGTGTTTCTAATGCAGAAGAGTCTTTAAATGCACCATTAATACATACTGTATGTAAAGTATTCAATAGTAGAAGCTGTAATAATAATACAATTTTATTTATGGGAGAATTTCAAGAAACTTAAAGACTGTATGACAGCACACATATAAAACGCAACAGAAAGAAAAAGAAAATGGCACGAGAAAAAAAGCACCGTAAATTGACTTAGTGAAACCAAGAGCAAAAATAAATTATACATTAAAAGCTTTAGTGAAAAGATAGGTCTTGAAGTCGACAGTCGCAAAGTCTCTAATGGGTTTGGGCAATAAGTTCCACAGACGTGATTCTGCACACAAAAAAGGCTCCATCACCCAATGAATGGAGCCTGATCCTGAGCAGAATAAGAAGGCCTGAATCATCAGATCTCAGATTAAATGCTGGACTATTCTTATAAAATAAATCCTTAACTAATCTAGAACTAGATCATTCGGTGTCTTATACAGTACGTGAGTAAAATCATTCAAAAGTCCACTGTAAATCTTACTGATAGACAATAAAATTTCCAGATGCATGTGCTGTGCTGATGCAGATTACTTTTCAATTAGACTTGAGCTGCAGATTATGGATAAATGAGGCCTTTTTAGATCTTTAGTGTTCTCAACATTTTAGGACAAGTTACCTGAGGTTCTCCTCGTTTGAGGATAAAGTGATTCACAGTAAAATTTAATTTGCATTGTTACATACTGTAATGTGCAACACTACAAAAGTATTTGAAGAATCACGTTTTTCAGATGTTGCTGCTGTAAAACTTGACATTATTTGTTATATAAAACAACCTATTACATTCAAACTAAAGTAACAGAAAAAAAATACGAGAGAAAAATGGAAAAGTCATTATTGTAGAAGTATTCAAACCCCTTGCTATGGCAAACATAAATGAATTTAGGTGCACACAATTACCACTGTGATGTCAACAGTGACTCTGAAAAAGCTAGAGTTCAATGGCTGAGAAAGGAGAAAATGTCCAGGAATCAAAGCCAGTCTGCATGGCAGAATGGCAAAAAGGAAGCAATTACTGGTGAAAAAAAACACCTTAAATCTTGCATGGTGTTTGCTACGAAGCATTTAAGCAAACATGTTGGCAAAATCTGTTCACAAGTCACACGAAACAAAATACAGTAGAAACACTTTAGTATGAATGCAAAATGCCTACTGAAAATAGCACACCACTCAGTCAACACCATCCATGCTGTAAAATATGGCCATGGTAACATTATATGATGGGGCAGCTAAACATCAACAGGGAACAAGAAGCTTGTCAAGACTGAGGTGAAAATGGATGGAGCAAAGTACATATAAATCTTAGAGGAAAACCTACTTCTGTCTGTTAAAGACCTAAAACTGGGACGGAAATTCACCTTGGCAGGAGAATGGCCCAAAGCACAAGGCCAAACCTGCACTGAATTGTCTTAAAAATAAGAAAATAAATGTCCTTGAGTGGCCCAGTCAAAATATTGACTTGAATCGTATTGAGAATCTTTAGAAAGACTTGAAAACTGTGGTCTTAAGTGATCCCCAAGAAAATTGAGAAAACTTGAGCAAATCTGTGATGAAGAATGGACAGAAATTGCACAAAGCAGGAGTAAGTTGGTTAGCATCTACCGAATAGTACATGGGTCAGAATACATACAGTATGCTATCGATATATTTAATTTTTTTCTCTTGACTTTTGACTGACATTCACTGTAACTCATCCTTAGAATTTTTTGGTTTGATCATTCATATTTGGTCTAAAGTAAAATATTTATAAAAAAGTGTATTCATCATTTTGTAATTCCACAAAATAGGACACCATAGGAAGAGTTTGAATATTTTTACAAGGCAGAATAGCTGGGTAATCACTAAATTTATTTTAGTCACACTCATTACAACAAAATTACACTTTGATTATATAACATACTACCTGCAGTTCCTGCTTGTCTCTTCAAAAAAAAAAGTTCACAAATAGAGCAGTGAAAACAAAAATGGTCCAAATAAAACATCTGCTTTATTAGGCAACATTAATTTTCGTTCATAAGGAACTACTGGGAAACCCAAAATCCCTTCTAGGTTCGAAATGTTCAGATGAATACAGTGTTCCAATGTACAAAATATCATAGGAAGATAAAGAATACAAATAAAATAGAATTCTGCAAAAGCTTTGGGTGTGAAAATAAACTACCATGGAATAAAAAATAGGATGATAATATCACTCAGAAAAAACACTGGCATATGAGTGATCTGAAGTGCTATCAGAATTCTATCAGCTGATCTGCATGCCATCCACTCACCATGAAAATGTTTTTTCATTCCTTTCCTCTGCCAGTTCTGGCACTTTCACCGCCTCCGTCATGCTCATCAAGAATACATTATCGGCGGCGGGTTGAAAACAGCAAACTCTTGCTGCGCCTGTACCAAACGCAGATGAAATAATGAGAACGCCAGACTCCACAGACAGAGGAACTGACAAGCCAGGGATGAAGAGAGTCAATTCTTGAAAACCTTATTCAAAATAAAGACATGTATACATAACTTATACAAAAAATATTTGTTTTCAGATTTGAAGGAAGTTTTTTTTCATATTGTTAAGAGAACTGAAAACACCTTACCATTTAGATTTCCAGTTTTAGTATAGCCAACACACAGCGAAAGAGGAATGTTTTTAAATTACTTAAACTACTACAGCAGATCCAGTCCTATTGCACTCATGAATAAAAATAATGCCATTTTAAACAGTTTTCCAATTATCAATAAGAAGCACTTTTGCATCATTGCAAATTCAGGAAACAAAGTAATTTAAAAGCTTCTGTCACTACAGTACTTATCACTTAATGCAATATGTTTTCAGTGGGGATGAAAATTGTATGGTTTGTAAGTTCCTTGCTTTGCCTGAAAGTGTAATTTGTTTTTGCTCAAGAAAAAATAAGTAAATACCTATTTCTAAAAAAAAACAGAAAAGACAATAGCCACATACAAAACAAAATATATGGTAAGAGGAGTTCTTCCTCTAACCCATGCCTTTTCAGAATCAGAGCTTTTCTCAAGTTTATTAAAGTAATGGGAGTGTTATCTCTTCCAGCACATTACGTATTAAACGCATTTTCGAAAGCTACATATACTGTAATTCTCAGATGAAGTGGGGAAAGACTGTAAACGTTTCTCAAAGGATACACATGTGAATAAATATTAAATGCTTTGTTGCAGTGCACTCTGTGTGTTTCTTGATTTTAGCTGCCGTCATTTATATTAAGGAGAAAGCTTCCACCCTGAAACTTGACAGGTAAGAGCAGTGACAGCGCTGAAGAGAACAGCATGATGGATGCAGGGACACAATAGTTGGAAGGGTACTGTTTGTCATAAACCCTTTTCAAATTGACTCTAATTTTGCTCAGCTCTGGACTCATACAGAGCGTCATCTGCTCTAGCCTTTTCTTATTTGTTAATTTCTTATTGTTTTTTTATTTATTTTGTGTGTTGTTTACGATTTAAAAAAAAGATTCCAATAAAAAGCAAAAAAAGAGGGCAGAGAAGGGCATGGAGAGCAAAAGAAGTCAAGCGTCCACTACAGGATGAAAAGTCTAACGCCTCGTTGCCTGGTGGGACTAGCAGTAGATCTATGATGTACCCACGGACTGGACGGAGGGCAGATGAGTCCCAGGGGGGCTCCAGGTGGTGCGCTGATAGGACAGTGGGGCTGTGTGCAGGCAGGGGTGCTCTCAGCCCTCAGTTGGACAGGTGGAGTAGTCAGCAGGGAACGCCGTTTTAGTGTCCGTGGTCGGGAAGGCAGGAGATGAAAGCCAGAGAAAACCAAATGAAACTCATCCAAGGCATAAAGGGGAGTCCAGGAGGTGAGTGCAGTAAAGGTCAGGTCCAGGGGATCACGGTAGCAAGGGGCACTAGGGATTTCCAAGTCAGTGTCATAGAAACTAGCAGGGTCAAAGCCAAGGGCCAAAGGGTCACAGAGTACACTACCACAAAGCATTTAAACATGGAGGGGTTACAAGCCAAGGAGGATCTGGGAACTTGATTGAGAATGGAAGCAGGGGGTCAGGAATCAAAACAAAGCACAGCTGCTTGGGACAGATGGCAGGCTTCTCTTGTTGGACAGGTGTTTGTTCTGAGGTAGGCTCTTAAAAAGGCTATCAAAATACTATCAGTCCCTCCTGCCCTGGCCACAAGTATTGGGACACATTCACTTTTAAGTAATTTTCTGAATGTTAAGCAAAACAAGTAGTTTGGACTTTGATGTCCCAGTACAGACGTTGTGCACTGTCATTAGAAAAAACAGCCCTTTTGTATTCTCCGTGTGGAGAATTATCCATACTTGCCGAATGTATCTGGAACTCCCTGAGGAAAGAGGAGGAGGATCAGACTCCACTCCATGGGTCACTCTTTGCTAGAAAGCTGTAGAATCCCTAGTTGTCTAATCCCATCCCTACCATTCCTGCCCCATGGTACTCTCCATGAACCAGAAAACAGCAGCTCTTTGCGACTGATGACAGTAGTAAGAATTAGAGGTCTCCCCCATGAAGCTCTGTGGATCTTTCAACATGTCAACTTTTCTCTAGCACAAGGTTCTGTATTGTTGGCAGTTACAGTGCATATTGGGTACATTTTGCATTAATCTAAAAGAATGCAGTCTGTAATTGTAAAGCATGGATTATGAAGCCAATCGCTGTATAAGTTAACATTAAAAAGACACAAATAACCCTTTGCACAGTAGTAGAGAAGCATGCACAGTTTTTATAATATTGAACTTCTGGTTGCATGATTGCTGAACATGCATTAAACTGCTTTATATATTTATAAATATCTCCATTGCTGTACAGTATATGAATATCAGAGTGTAACTACAATTGCAGCTGAAATTAAATCTGGGCTGTAACGGGACATGTTTTTCACATTACTCTTTTAGAACACTGGTTGCTTTTTATTCCCCCAGCTGTCTAATTGCAGTTCTCTCTGATTTTGCATTTGTATCATGGCCTGATCCCACCGATACTCAAATGGATTCCTAACCCCATTACAGAACATGACAGGAATTGTCTACAGGCTGAATTGACTTATTTTATCCCTTGCCTGTGGGAATAATCTCTAGTGCAGTACTGTGAGCCACAGAACTGCAAACTCTGCTTGTCAACGGGTGACTTCCTATTCTAATCTTCTGAGCCAATCAATACAATCTCATCAATGTCATTCAATGTTAACCTCTATTTTATTGTGCTGTGCTATTACTTCTATAGTTTTAATGGAGTAATGTAGTCCCAGGTAGACGTCATATTCCCCTGCCATCTAACACAGCAATATCATTTTGAACAGATTTATTAGAGTTAAATAATTATCTGAAAATTTAGAAATTTAAAAAAAAACCTCAAAATCACTCTCATCTACAGTAAATGTCTGATCTTACAAAAAAAGAGAGATATTTTACATCTTTTTAAAAAATCCATTCCTCATTAAATATAACCCCTTTTTAACCTGCAATTTGCAAGAGTTGGATTATTTCCAGATAAAACCTCATAGTTAAGAGGCCTCGGGACATACAGTAGATTTAGGTACAATACTGATGAACAATCTCCTTTTAAAAGATTTAATTACACTTCTGCACCCCAAAGCACGATACTCTTAGGTTAAGGTTATTGCTACATGCCCCAAAGGTTCAAACTTGAATCCAAGTCATAGTACTGTATGCAAATCTGGTTCTAAGGGATTTAGAGACTTCACTATTAATTTATAGGCCGCACTGTGACAGAGACCTCCATATAATTCCTTGTTCAGTCCACTTAGCCTGGATAGTGAAAGTATTAGATTTTAAAGTAAACGTCATATGTCTACTTGCTGTAGCAATGCAAATAAAAACCAAAGCCACATCTTAAAGTAGAGCAGAAAAACAAGAAAAAGATCCTCATTTAATCAAACAGATTTTTTAATGTATTGTTATTAAAGCATGCATTCCTAAAAAAAGGTCATACAAAGTCCAAGATACTGTATCTCAATAAGCAAAACTCTAAAGTCAAAAAAAGAGCTCAAGGTGTCCTGTCTTACTTGTCTGGTCGCTTTACCATTAAAAGCACTTGATAATGACTTATGAAGCAAGCATCTTTGACCTGAGGTCATTCTTTTGAAACAAAACTTATAGTATGTTATTTGTAAATTGTTTGAGGACCATCTCCCATCACTGAGGTGGTAAATGAAACAAAGCAGTTCGGAAGAGTGGGGTGTCTTATAAACTCTAATGTGCAATGCAAATGCTCTGCAAATTTCAGTGACAGGGGTCAGCACTGAAAGGTTTATATTGAGCTATTTTGACAGCTTGCTTTGGAAGTCTCAGTTACAAATCGCAGTAACTCAAATTCATTCAAACCCATTAAATTGTCATAAAGCAGGGAATGAAATGCAGACAGAGAGGAATCCCATTTCTGCAGAGTGAACCTCTCTCAGGGACCTCCTAGTGTTAAGATGCGAGTTAATCCTGGACACATTTGAAGGGATATTACTACAACATGTTAACAATCCCCAGCCTCCACCTTATCATTATGGGACAGAATGACAAAGCACCCATTGCCAGCTTTACAATATAATACCCCAGTAATACAGAACCCCACTTCACACTATTGATCATTGCTACCATTGGAGCACCAGCTGCTCTGCAATGAGATTCTGTAGACACTTCAACATATGTGTATTTACTTTACCGTTAAATCACATGTGTTGTACCTGAGGGTGGCATGGTGGTTAGCAGTGCTGGGCCCCTGGGTTCAGTTCCGGACCTGGGGTGTTGTCTGCGTGGAGTTTGGATTGCTCTCTCAGTGTTTGCTTGGGTTTCCTCCCACAGTGCAAAAACATACTGGTAGGTTAATTGGCTTCTGGAGTGAGTGTATGTGTGACGGTGCCTGTGTGTGCCTTGTGATGGACTGGCGTCCCATGTATCCTGCCTTGTGCCCTTTGCCTTCTAGGGTACTGCCTGTAGCAATAACCTTAACCTAGGGTTAGAGAGGCTTGGGTTTGCCCTCAACCCTGAATAGGATGAGGCGGTCAGATGGGTGGATTCTGTAACTGTATTACATAATTATTATTTAACATACAGTACACATGATTCAAATATAAACTCACGTTGTGAAAAAGTTTATTTATATTGCAATTATTGGTTCAGGAATAGGATTATGTACAACTGCGTGTGTACACATCTAAACTTAAAAGTATTATAATTTGCTAGAGTAATAATTGCTTAATGCATTTACAATGTTGGTCATACTGTATGTTTTGTACGTAGAGTACAGTAAATGTATTTCATAGTGTAAACCATCAAAATCTAATTACAGAGTTAATAATGTCAAATAATAACGATGCATATCTGATTTGTTAGTTAGTTTTGTTAGTTAACACACATAGATCTACTGTATGTAAAA